AGGGGTTGAAGGGAGGGCAAGGGAAGGGAAAAAAAATAAGAACCAAGAGACTCATGTAATGGTACAAGATCCCAATGATGAATGTAACTGTATTTTATACCTAAATTGTACCAATAAAGTTAATGGGGAAAAAAAAAAGAAGTAGAAGGATATTAGTAGAATTTAATGAAGGTAACAGAAAAGAACAAACAAGAAAAAGAAGATAAAAGGAAAAACAAGAAAAAGAAAAAACTTTAAAAAAGGAAATTAGAAAAAGGGAAGACAGAAAAAGAAATAAGAAATATTCTCCAGACTCCAAAAAATCAGTGCGCAAGAAAGAGGAGGGAAAAAAAATGAGTCCAAAATGTTTTCTTTGTATTTTTGAATGAATAGTTTCTTTCCAGTGTACAGTTTTCTCCACTTAGCTTTATAGCCTATGAGTTTGTGAGGGGCCCACCTGTTCCAGAAGCTTCTCTGTCCATTTATCCCAAGCTGTGGCAACTGTCCAAAGTAAGGTGTGTCCTTGCTCATGTTGGTAGATGGAGAAAACAATCAGAACTCTGATTTGTGCTGGTTGTAGAAAACAAATCAAGGGTTCAAGCAGCCCCATTGTACTTAATGCCAGCATGAACAGACCCAGCTGTTTCTGAGCTCAACACAAGTCAGGCCTAGCTTCTCAACATGGATGTTGGGACTTGTTTCCTTCCCTACCTGAAATGAAACTTCTCAGGTAGTCTATTTCTAGTCTACTCCCTGTCCACAACTGTCTCCTGTGGCTGTCTCTCACCCAGTCACCATGGGAGGGTTACATTGGAAACCCTGAAGTGACAGCTTTTTTTTTTTTTTTAGTTGTTCAGAGGCTCTGTGTTAAATAATTAATCTTTTCCCAAAATGGTGCCTGGTTAAACAGTCTCTGGCAATATGGTGGGTGCCTACTATGTGGAAGGAGTCACTTAGAACAAATCCCACACTGCTTTTGTAGCTTACAACAGCTGTGGGCTCTGCCTGGGACCAGTGCTGCCAGCATGGTTCACTGTTTCCTAGAGCTCCAAGCCCTGGGGGTTACCTTGTGTCTCTAAAGACAACTTTCCCTTCCTCAGAAGGGGATGTTCAGGCTGCTGCATTCTTTTCTTTGCATTGTGGCTCATTTCTCCAAATTCTCTGTTGCTTCTAATATTCCTGTCAGTTCCTTCCCTCTTCACCAAGGTTTTTTTTCAGGTGTTTGAATTTTGAGTCTCAGGCTGAGTTTTACTGTTGATTGCCACTCTGCCATTTTGGTTTCTCTAACTTCTTTTTAAAATTTCTTTTTTTGGGGGGGGGGGGGGCGGGTACCAGGGATCAAACTCGGGACCTTGGACTTGCAAGGAAGGCGCCAGAACAACTGAGCTAAATCCTCAGCCCTAAAATTTCTTAAAAATATTAAAGTATGTATGTACACACACATACATCTTTTTGAAAGGTCAGTAAATTAAGTGACTTGAATGTATCAATTATGTATATATAAAAGGAAAAGAGTAAAAGAATGACAGTGTTAAAGGCTTAGAAATCTTCATTGTAGTTGTGTCTAATAGTGAATGAGTAGAACTATTTCTAAGGTCTCAAAAACTAGAGATATTAGGATTCATCTTTTAGTTGAAGATGTATCATAAATTGCGCTAAAACATCCTTGAAATTATGAAACTCATAGCCATAGAGCTATGTGAGTCAATAGCTCTGTAGTTCAATTAACTATAAATTTACAGGGCCAGGGATTTAGCTCAGTGGCACTGTGCCTGACTCACAAGTACAAGGTCCCAAGTTCGATCCCTGGTACCAAAAAAAAAAAAAAAAAAAGAAAGTATATAAATTTACAAAACATGTTGTACTCTTTACTAGTCAAAACCATTCTGTGTTGAAAAGAGACCTAGCAGGAAATAAATTGAAACAACCAGCCTACAAGCTTGAACCTGATCAAGGGGTGATGAAGATGAAAAATGAAGAGACAAAGAAACAAGATAAAATCTGGGGGGTCAGGGGCTCATGACTCCCTTTAACATAGACCCCAAATGACTGAAGCACCTTGGCTTTATTCACTCAGACATGGGCACAAGCAACTAGAGTTCCACAGGATTCATCTGTCTCCTACTCTCCATGATACTTCTCTGGGGAAAAAAACTTCATCTCAGGTGTTTCTACTTTTCTCTGCAGCATGTTAGTATGCTTGCATGCCTTTTTTCTTCTCAGTGCACGCTGAGAAGGCCAATTGGGCCTCATTCTTCCCAGCTGATCTCCACAATAAATGGCCTTTCAAATGAGGTACTATGGAGATTTTGGCAGGGCGGGTACTGAGGATTGAAACCAGGTTCTTTGCACTGAACTTCATCCACAGCCCTTTTCTATTTTTTATTTTGGCTCAGGATCTTGCTAAGTTGCCCCTCCTAGGTTCAAACTTGCCATCCTCCTGCCTTAGCCTCCCACAATGCTGGGATTAGGTGTGTGCCACCACATTCAGCTTCAAGGAGACACTAAAGATGGAACAATGTTCAGTGATGTGGCATGGTGAAAGGAAACTGGAAAGGAATGGTGAAGCATCCTGGGATGATCCACAGGGAGCCAGTGCCACCTCAAAGCTACAGCGACAAGAAAAAGCAGTTACTGGGTACAGGAGTAACTAGCTGTGAGAGAGGCTGTGTAACTAGCTGTTACAGGAGTAACTAGCTGTGACAAGAGATATGGTCTTTTTAGAGGGACACAGACAACCTTTAACCACCAGAAAAGGAAAGGGCTGGAGGAAATGCCTGACCTCACGCTTTATCTTATATTTTTATTTGCTAAATCTGGTAACCTTGGATGGGGAAATGTAGACAGTTAGTCTGGATGGGCAAGTAGAGAACATGTATTCTCCTAAGTGAAGGAAGTACATCCATATCCCACTTTGTTCATTAATAATCTTTTATGTGGACCTCAGGCAAAGCCTCTCTCAAAAGACCACAGGCATGCTGGGTCATGCCTCAAATCCCAGCACTCAGGAGGCTGAGGCAGGAGGATCGCTGCAAAGTCAAGGCCAGCCTGAACTACATAGTGAGACCGGTCTCAAAAAACAAACAAACAACAAAATTAAAAAACAAAAAAACCCACAGGCGATGCATTTATTCAAACATTGTAATGAACTGGTAACGCTTACTCTGAAAATCATCCACATGTTGGCTTATAATTCCAATTATATAGAAAAGAGACTGCACATAAAAAGTCAATAAAAAGTAAACTTTGGAGGGAAAAATATTCCTTGCAACTCTAAATTAGTATTTATTTTCTTCATTATTCACATGGTGTTCTACAGATAAATATACCATTAGGAGCCAAATAGAAAGTTTATGTCCAGGTCTTAGAAGAAATATTTCATCATGACCAGAGGCTAACTTGAGCAAAAACTGGGAACCATCCTCATGTTTATAATAAATATTAAATGAAGACAAAGCACAAAGAAGGATATGGACAGGGTTGTTAAGGAGACAGAGTACTCCACAAATCAATATGTCTAAACAATATTCTGGTAATTCTGGCTTTAAGAATAAAAGTTATTTTAATTTGTAAGTAGAGAAAAACTGCAGACAAAATGTGTACAGTTATTCTTACCTTAAAGTAAAAAGTCAATTGGTTGGGAAAAGAAGATTTCAGAGGAAGTACTGACATTTTATAGGTTTGAAAAATACTTTTCCCTTAAAAAATTTGTGTTAATTAAAGAATATGTTTGATTTATCTCATTTTCACGGTTCATTTATTTATTATCAGATGATATTTTTTGGAGGTTTAGCATGTCTCAATGTTTATTAAGATATATGTATTTTGGGAAAAAAGCACTCAGGAGGAAAAATTATTAAATTTCTACCATTTGGCTCAAGAGCTATAAGAGAGTTTGAATTTAAGTGTCAGGCTATTCCTTTCCTGATGCTACAGGAAGTCTGAGGTTCTGGTTTCCAAATAGTGAGCCACATAGCACATCTGGCACCTGTGATAGCTCACTTGCAACACATCCCTCTGTAGGTGACAAAATCATTTCCAATAATAATCATGAACTGAAATGAAAAGTAATGGGCAAAAAAGAGTGAAATGCTCCTTTTATTGAATCATCTATGTATGATTATGTCAGTTTGGGATGTAGCTCCATGGCTCAGAACATGCTTACTATTTGCAAGGCCCTGGGTTCCATCCCCAGTGCTATAAAAAATTAATTAATATTACAATATAAAAAAATTCAAGGGCCGGGGATTTAGCTCAGTGGTTTTGCCACCTGCTACGCAAGCGCAAGGACCCGAATTTGATCCCCGGTACCAAAAAAACCCCCAAAATTCATTCTGCTTAACTATATTAAAGTATTTTTAATTTTAAAAGAGGGGACTTAGAACACATGATGATAAGCTTTCAAATGTTTGACTCCACAAGATGTGGCTATAAAGGGATAGTGAAGGATTTTCATGGTGATAAAATAGTTGTATATATTGATTACAGTGGTGATGCCACGAATTTACAAGTGATAAAATTGTTTGGAACTGCACACATACATCCACAAATGAGTACCTGTAAAACTGATGAAATCTGAATGAGCCCTGCGGATTGTCCCAATGTCAACTTCCTGGTCCTAATGGGGATAACTGTGTGATGAGCACTGGTAGCTATCTGTATTATTTTGTTTTGCGAATCTATAATTAAGTCATTAACAAGGTCTCCAAAAAGTTACATGTGGTGTGATTCCACGTATTTGATAGTCTTAAAAAAGTCAAAAGGAGCAACAGGGAACAAATCAATAGTTTCCAGTGGGTGAGGGCAGGGCAGAACTACAAAGCAGGAAGTTGGGAGAGTTTATGGGTGAGGAGCAGTGCAGTATTTCCCATTTGTGGTTGTGATTACATGAATTTATACATGTGTTAAAATTCATAGAAGTGCACACAAGCATATTGTCAATTGTGTCAGTCAGTGCTCATTACAGAAACATATTTAATCCAAGATATACAAATACATAAGGATTTACAAGATTGGCTTACCAGGGCTGCCCAGAGTCAGCTGTAGAAGAGTGCAAAAGGGCTGTCTATGCGCTGGAGACCTGAAGGATCCAGTTGAAGGCTTGGCACTCACAGTAGTGTCCCATGCGAGTCTGTATCAGAGGGCCAAAGAATCTTCAATGGAAGGCTAAAGGGTCTGTGCTAAAGGCTGGAGTTTAAGCTAGAAGCCAGGAGACAACATCCAAAGTGAAAGTGAAGACTGGAGCTCTTCCAAAGAAAAAGAAGTGAGGCTTCCTTCTTCATTTCCCTTTTACACCATTCAGGTGACAAACCGACCCAGGGTGGATCTTCTGTCTTCAGTAAATCCCCTCAGCCAGACCCAGAACTATGTTGATGCAATTTAGTTGGGCATTTCTTACTCAAATTGACACAATCAGTTAACTTCACATCAGTATTACTGTATCTCAATTTTCCTAACATTTTAACAAAATTTTTTAAAATGTTGAAACATTTGGAATCAGAAAATATTGAGACATTAAACAAGTTAATCTCAGTTTTCCTATCTATAAAATAGTAAGAATACAATCCACCTGATAGCAATGTATGTAAAGGTTTTAGCTCATTACCTAGCGCTGAGAAAGCACTGGGCAAATAGTATCACTTACTTACACTTACTTCTATTTTTACTTAGGGGATTCACTCTATAAGGAAATTTAGAAGAAGAGATTTCTACTGGCTCTCTCCAGTGGCAAACCGCATTGCCTAGAAGACACCTTTGCTTTATCTGAGTCTAGCCTTTCACTGACTTAGAGCTATTTTATATCTATCTGTTCAGTATTTTAGAAATTGTAAATGTAATTTGTTGTAATTGCTAATGACTAAAAATGATTTTTAATCTATTATTATGCTAATAAATTCTGTAGTGGAACTGTGGTATGGTGGTTTTAGTTAACACCCCACAACCCCAAACTCCCAACCCAGTGAAAAAAATCCCCTTTTATGTCTCTTTGTAAATTCATTTGCCCCGTGTAAAATTGTGGTTCTATTCCTGTGTACTTTGAGCCAATTGTAATGGATTTCTAGTTTCTTCATTACATGATGAATTAAGTAAATCTTTGACACATACTCATTTTACATTTGAATAAGAATCATGATTTTACCTTTTTTTAAAAAAAAACTATAACAATTTTACAGCCAGAAAATGCTTGGAGGAAATGTGAAATTGTAATAAAAGCAAGGTATACAGTATCTGAGATACTTAGTCATTTTGGCTGTTTTGGATTATTTGGAATTTTAATGTCTAATAAAGTCCTAATAATCAAGTACAGTTTTTGTCCCTCTTAGTATAATTCTTTGTCTAGAGTAGGTCCTCCATATATATTTGCCAAATAAATAAAGTGACTTCATATTTCATCTGAGATTGCTCAATCAGATAGAAAGACAGATTTTAACTTCAATACTCCCTGCTGAGGGGGAACATCTTATTTTTTTATGATCATTATTAATTTTATTGGTCAGGAAGGACTACATGGTAACAAACAGCTCCCAACAAGCCCAGTGGCTTACCACAACAAAAGTTAATCTTTCCACTGTCCATTTCAGGTCAAAAGGGAGTTCTAATCCTCGTCACTCCATGACCAAGGCTATGGAGATTCAACCTCTACATTTACTTTTCCATACCCACCACCACCACAGTAGGAAAGGGGTCTGAGAAGTCACGTACCAGCTTCCATAGTTTTCACCTAAAACTGATACATGTCACTTCTCTTCACATTCCACTGGCCAAAGCTAATCATGTGGTCTCACTTATCAAGGGGCAGGGAAGTACGGTCCTATCATTTGCCAGGGGGAAACAACACTAAGGATTCCAACAGCAATACCTTCCACAATCAAAGGAACACAGAAGGATGATGGCTGTACTGTGGACTTCAAAAGAAATTGTGAGTAAAAACTGTAGAGCTGCTGGAAGTTTGTTATACACTTTGTCCCCTGGCACACACTCCCACCCCAAGTTTACAGAAAGAGCTGCAAACTCTTTTCAATATTACCATCAGAAAACCACTGAGGCACCAGGGAGAAGAGAGGAGAGCTGATGACACTAATCTAAGAAAAGGAGTGATCTGAATATCTAAGGAAAAACTGAACACTCAGAACAATCAAAATAAAACTTCCGGTAGAGGTCAGAGGTGATGGAACACGCCTATAATGCCAGAAGTTGAGAGGCTGAGAGGCAAGAGGATCCCTCGAGTTCAAGGACAGGCTGGGCTACATAGTAAGTTCAAGGCCAGCCTGAACTACACAGGGAGACCCTGACTAAAAAAACAAAAACAAAAACAAAAAAACCTTCACATGGGGAAACAAAAGAATGAAAAATTAGTTCTAATTGGCTAAGAGAAGCTTCAAAAAGCAGGCCCATGGGCTGAATAGAATGTCTGTCTCACAATCTGCCATGGGGGTCGCCCCAGAGCCTGGGTTGATTTTTGAGTGATCCTTAGAATGAGTGTGCCCTGGCACAGGCTTAAAACAGGAAGACTGAAGGCTTTTAATCAGTTTTATTGAAGGAAAACCAGAGTGTGCACCAGAGGACTCAAAAACCCCAGGAAGTGGAGTGTAGCCAGCTACTGCCTGGGGGCTGGGGGTTGAGGTGAAGGATCCACACCAAGTCTGTTTCACATTTATTTGACTGAGAAGTTTACTTTGAAAAGAGTACTTCACGGGACCTTCGGGAGCTGTCACACTCTGCCCCCGGGCAGAAGATTAACTGCTCTGTGGACCAGCAGGGAGAAGCCTAGTAAATCAGAGGCCCCTTGTCTGTGGCGTGTGGACTTACAGGTGGCAACGTAACAGGCAGTGCCTCTGCAGGCGCCTGGAGGACTTCACAGTTTATGGCTCAGAACGAACCATGTGAATGGAAAAAAGCATCTGAATGCATTCTCTAAACTGCTGATTGAAAAACAGACTTGAAAGGGGCTGCAAAAGAAAAAGTTTCCTCGAATTATCCATTATCCGTCTTCAGGAACAATCTCCAGGAAATGGTGGCGTCTGGGAGGGGGGCATCCTTTTTGTGTTTTACTGAGAGGCCAGCCAGGTTAATAGCCAAACTCTAAAAACTTGGCTCTATCCTTGAGTGGGCTTGTGTGTGTGTGTGTTTGTGTCTGGGGGGCTATTTTAAATTCTCAGCTGCAAAATGGGGATTATTGTGAGGATTAAATGAGCCAATTATATGGAAAACTGAGCAATGAACATAGTAAGCACTGTACAACTATTGGCTTTTATTTCATGCATGTATTGGCATGTCTTGCCTATTGAAAAGATACTTTTAAATGTGTTTTTATAAAGTACTGGAAATGTTTCTTTTTTATGGTGCTAGGGACTATATTGGAAATATTTCTATAAAGCAAATAATTATCTTAAACTCAGGCCAGGGGTTTAGCTCAGTGGTTCCACCACCTGCCTGGAAAGCACAAGGTCCCAAGTTTGATCCCCGGTACCAAAAAAAAATTATCTTAAACTCTCTTTTTTGGGATTTAACGTGTATAAGTTTTTCTTAGAGTTAGACTAATCTTTTCACTGTCTCCATACTTTTGACTTTTCCAGAATGTATCATACACTATGAAACCTTTTCAGATTGACTTCTTTCAACTTCCTCATGTGTATTTAGGTTTTCTCCATGGCTTTTCATGACTTGATAGCTCATTTGTCTTTTATTTTTATTTATTCATTTATATATTTTGAGACAGGATCTCACTGTGTTGTCTAGGGTAACCTCAAACTGCTGGGCTCAAGCCATCCTCCTGCCTCAGCCTCCCAAGTAGCTGGGAATGCAAGCATGTGCTACTGTGCTTGGCTACTTTTTAATACTGAATAATATTTCATTTTCTGAATGTAATGCAGTTTATTTATCCATTCTACAAATGAAGAACATTTGAGTTGCTTCCAAGTTTGAGCAATTATGAATGACGTGCTATAAACACTCCTGTATGACTTCAATTATTTTAAATTGATTAAAGTGTGTTTTATGGCCCGGAATGTGGTCTGTCATGGTTAATGGTCCATATAAACTTGAGAAGAATGTGCAGTCTGCTGTTGGATGAAGTTGTCTATAGATGTCAGTTTCATCCAGTTGATTGATGGTGCTGTTGAGTTCAACTATGCTCTTGCTGATTTTCTGCCTGCTGGATCTGTTCAATTCTGCAAGAAAGGAGTTGAAGTCTTCAACTATAATCATGGGTTCCTCTATTTATTTATCTTTGCAGTTGTATCAGTTTTTGTCTCTTGTATTCTGATGCTCTGTTGCTGGGCTTACACATTAAGGGTTGTTACATCCTCTTGGAGTGTTTTACTCCTATATCACCATTCTTTTTATCCCTGACCTGAAGTCTAAGCAGTCTGAAATTAGTATATCTACTTCCATTTTCTTTTGATTAGTGTTAGTATGATATGATTCTCCAACTTTTATTTTTAATCTATGTGTCTTTATATTTAAAGTAGGTTTCTTGAAAGAAAGAAAGAAAGAAAGAAAGAAAGAAAGAAAGAAAGAAAGTTAGAAAGTTTCTTGTAGACAGCAAGAACAAGTTGGGTATTGTGTTTTGATCCCCTCCGCAAGCTGTCTCTTAATTGGTGCATGTAGACATTCAAGGTGATAATTGATATAGGTGCATTGATATCTACCATATTTTTATATCCTATTTGTTGCCCTTGTTCTTTGTTCCTATCTTTATTTTTGAACATTTTATGTGATTCCATTTGTTCTGTCTGTCTCTCTATCTCTCTCTGGTGGTGCTGTAGATCAAACCCCCGTCCTTCACTTTCAAAGGATAATTTTTCAGGGTTCAAAATTATAGGTCGCAAGGGGTTTTCTTCTTTCAACATTTAAAATATTTTACTCCACTCTCTTGTTTGCATAGTTTCTAAGAAGACAGATATAATTCTTATATTTGCTTCTCTATAGATAAGGTATTTCCCCCTAACCCCCAGCTTCTTCCAATGTTTTTTCTTTATCTTTGATTTTCTGAAATTTGAATATAGTATGCCTAGATATAGGGGGTTTTAGTATTTATCCTGTTTGGTGTTATCTGAGCTTCCTGGACCTGTGGTTTGGTGTCTGGCATTAATTTTGGAAAATTCCCAGTCATTATTGGTTCAAATATTGCTCTCCTGTTTGTCTTTCTTCTCTCTCTGATATTTCCATTACAGATATATGTACCTTTTGTAATTGTAATGGTTCTTGGATACTCTGTTCTGTCTCTTTCAGCCTTTATT